CCGTGCCCATAGCTCAGTGAGTAGGGCACCAGCCACATACACCAAAGGTGGTGGGTTCAAGCTTGGCCTGGGCCTGCTAAACACTAATGACAACTGCAACCAAAAAAAGAGCTGGGTGCTGTGGCAGGCATCTATAGTCCCAGTTACTCGGGAGGCTGAGGCAAGAGAATCACTTAAGCCCAAGAGTTTGAGATTGCTGTGAGCTGTGATGCTACGGCACTCTACCAAGGGCAACATAGTTAATACTCTGTCTAAAAGACAACAACAACAAAACCCCCTAGAGGTTATTACATTGTTTTAGCATTTTCCTTTATGCATATCCTGGTTCCAAAGGTCACATGGTATATGGCTAAATTTGATTCCCAGTCTTCATGACACTTGGAAGACTGACCCGGCCCGGGTCAGCTAAAAACAACAATGACAAGTGCAACAACAACAAAAAAATAGCCGGTCCTTGTGGTGTGGGACCATGGTGTGTGATACACCCTTTGGGGGTGGGGCACTATTATTAAAGGGACTTTACCTAGCAAATGCAAGCAGTGTAACCTGGCTCTTTGTACCCTCAATGATTCCCCAACAATTAAAAAAAAAAATAGACTGCTTTTGCTGTTTCCCACAGGTTTTGGTGACTTATGTCTCCATTGTTGTTATGTCTGAGGAATTTAACAATTTCCTCTTTTACCTCTTCCTGAACTCAACTATCATTCTGCATAAGGTTGTTTAATTTCCAAGTCATGGTGTCGGGATGAATGTTTGTGTTGGAGTTGAGTTCGAACTTTATGCTCTGTGGTCTGAGAAGACATAAGGAGTAATTTCTTTCTTTTTCTTTTTCTTTCTTTCTTTCTTTCTTTCTTTTTTTTTTTTTTTTAGACAGTCTCAAACTGTTGACCTGGGTAGAGTGCTGTGGCATCATAGCTCACAGCAACCTCCAATTTGGGCTCAAGTGATCCTCTTGCCTCAGTTTTTTTTTTTCTATCTTTAGTAGAGATGGGATCTTGCTTTTTGCTCAGGCTGGTCTTAACAAGCAATCCACCCACCTTGGCCTCCCAGAGTGCTAGGATTACAGGGATGAAACACCACATCTGGCCACATGGTATAATATCTATTCTTTTAATTTTGTTGAGGTTTGATTTGTATCCTAGGATGTGGTTGATTTTGGAGTACATACCATGAGCTGATGAGAAAAATGTATACTCCTTAGTTTTAGGATGGTGTGTTCTGTATATGTCTATTGATCCCAGTTGTTCTAGGGTCATATTTAAGTCCTTTGCATCTTTGTTTAGTTTCTGTTTAGAGAATCTGTCCAGTTCTGTCAGAGGGGTGTTGAAGTTTCCAACTATTATGGTGTTATGAGATATCATATTGCTCATACCCATCAAGGTGTGTTTCATAAATCTGGGAGCCTTTAAGTTGAGTGTGCAAATATTTAAAATTGAAATGTCTTCTTGTTGAATTGTTCCTTTGACTAGTATAAAGTGTCCATCTTTGTCTTTCTAACTTTAGCTGTTCTAAATCCGCTTGTGTCTCAAAATAAGATTGGAACCCCTCCTTTCTTATGATTTCCATTTGCTTGAAATACTGTTCTCCATCCCTTAAACATAAATCCTGATTTGTCATTCAAAGCTAGGTATGTCTCCTGGAGACAGCATATAGATGGCTTGTCCTTTTTTATCCAATCAGCCAGCCTGTGCATCTTCAGTGGGGAATTCAGGCCATCAACATTTATTAAGAAAATTGGTAAGTGTGGTGGAGTTCTATTCATCTTATTTTATGAAAGTCTATTATGTAGTTTTATCCTTTGCTCCACTATGGAGACTGTTTTAACCCTTAGCTTCTGGGTGTTTACTTTACTGGTGGTCCATTGTGGTGATCAGTGTTGAGAATAGGCCTAAGTAGTTCCTGTAGAGCTGGTCTTATGGTGAATTTCCTCAGTGCTTATATATCTGCAAAAGATTTGATTTCTCTATTCATTCTGAAACTTAGTTTAGCAGGATACAAAATTCTGGCCTGAAAATTGTTTTGTTTAAGAATGTTGTAGGCGGATGACCATTCTCTTCTGGCTCGGAAGGTTTCAGTTGAAAAGTCTGCTGCCATCCTAATGGTTCTACCTCTGTTAGTCAGTTGACGCTTCCTACTGGCTGCTTACAGAATTTTTTCTTTCATGTTTACTTTGGACACGTTTATTACAACATGTCTCAGAGACACTCTGTTTGAGTTGAGATGTCCCATGATTCAATATCCATCTGAAAGGGGTGTGTTGGGGTGTTTAGTAAAACTTAGGAAGTTTTCCTTTATGATGATCTCCAGTAGGGCTTACATTCCTTTGGGACAATCTTTTTCCCTTTCAGAAATCCCTATTATTCATATATATGAATTATAGTTCTCTAAGCACCTGTACTGCTTTCTCTCTCTTCTTTTCTGCCTCTTTAACTACCTGGTTAACTCAAAAACTTTATCCTCTAGCTCTGAGGTTCCTCCTTCTCCATGCATTCTACTGCATCTTTACATTACCTGATTGTCTCTTTCATTTCCTTAAACTCATTATATCTTTTCTATAGTCTACATATCTTTCATCCAACTTTTGGTTCTGTCTTTTCATTTTCTCACCCATTCCTTTTATTGTTGTTATCATCCATATTTTAACTTCCCTTTCTGTCAAGTCCATTAATTTCTTATAGGTGGAGTCTTCTTCAGTAGCTGTCTCATGGTTCCTTGGGGGAGTTCCTCTGTTTTGGTTTTTCATGTGGCCTAAATTTTTCTATTGGTTCCTCCTATGTGTTCTTTCTTCTTGTTCACCACTTTGTCCTCCTTTATACTTCTCACTGCCTCCTTTGTTTTAAACAAAAGTCCTTGCTCTTGATGATAGTATGTTGCATTGTGTCTCTAGGACACCAAATGCTGCTGTGGTTTTTTAGAAGACAGAAAATACAGCCAGCAATCTCTATGGTCTTTATTCCAAACTTAGTTGCCTTCAGTGATCACCTGATTGTTTCCTCAGCATTCATACCCTGCTGGGTTGAGATCTTAAAGCTCACAAGAATCCTTCAGGGGCAGATCTCACAGTGACCCCTGACTCTAGTTCCTGTGGGCTGTGGGAGTCCCTTAGCCTGTCCCCAGAGTGGAGTTCTGATCCTGGCAGGCAGAAGTAAGACAGCCATGCTTTAGGCCCCTGTAAAGACCTTCTCATGACCTTCCCACAATGGCAACCCCTGGCCACTGAGTCACTTGCCTTATTCATCAGATTTCCACAGCTCTAGATCATATGCTGTATCCAGCTCACCAAATCCTCGCTGTGCTCCCTGAACTCTGACTCAGGGACCCAGGTATGGGTCATTCTAGGAGAGCTCAGCTGAATGATCCTTCTGGTCTACCATCTTACTCTGCCCCACCTAATTTATTTCAATTTCTATAAAGCTTTGAGGATGACTGGCAAGTGCATTCTGAGGGCCAAGAGTATGAATGATATGGAAAACATTTTTGAGACTGGGCTCCTTTTGTTCAGGAAATGTCAAGTTAGAAGGTATTTCCTTTTGATTTGTTCTTCCTTTAGAGTTATCTTGGAGAGGCTCTTCCTTAGGATAAGCAGAAATGTTGTATTCTCAAAAATTTTACCAAAACTCTGCTTTTCCTCATTTGTGGTGAGTTCTGAATTATTTTTCTATTCTACTTTGCCTTCATCAATTGACATTTCCTCATACTTTCAAGTCCTGACTATCTAGATACAGCTTCTCTATCAAGATATTTATTCATTTCTAGTTTCTGAGGTATTTTTCACAGATACAAAAGTGTACCAATAATTACCTGCTTGTTTCTCAGATGTTTTTAAAACAACTCTATCCTTAAATAATGGAGTATGAACAAAGAAAAATCAGAATGTAATTAAAATTTTTTTGTTAAACTTCTTAATCTATGTTCAACTATTTCCAAGTCACTGGATTATAACTAAAAAGTGGCAAATAATTTGTCTTAGCCTAAAACAGGAGAAAAATATGAAGCAGTAAACTTAACTTTGTTGCTGTTTATTTTGATTAAACTTAACTCACTGTGTGTTATGTCTACCAAAAATGAGTTAGCAGATGATCTGTAGTGTTACAAAGACTTTCTATTCTTATAAATGTTTGACCTCACCATACTTTAAATAATGAGCCCGTACAGTGAATATATGACTTTTCAATTATCCTGAATATACTTTTTCTAAAGATTATTAACTGGAAAGTAGGCACACTTATTATGAATAATAACTATTAGCAGCCCAAATAAACACCAATCATAAAGAAAAGCAACCTCTTAAATTTTAATTCAAATTGTATATGATAGTGTTACATCTCTAGGTAGACTATTAGTTTAAGGCCAGTTCCAATACATTATAAAGTCCACTAATGACAGTGGATACAAATATATTTAATAATATTGACTTATTTCCTACATTGAAATCATTTAGAAAGTTATTGTTTGTATCCTAATAATAAAAGTCCCATTCTGAAAGGCATAATTCTGTTAATTGACAATTAGGTTGATTTTATGACCCTCTTCTCCCCCTGAACATAGACACTGAAGTCAGTTAGAGACCATCAGTCAGTTAGAGGTCACCTATGCATTACTGACTAGCAATACAAAACTAAACTCTTAACCACTGGGAATCATTACTTCTTTAACATGAAGCCAAATGAGTGGCCATCAGGGTTAATTTGTTCATAATTTATATTGCTTAATAATTTGAGTCAATATTTAATGCCACCTTCCTTATCACATAAGAAGCTTATAATATTTCAGAAAATTCCAGAAAAATTTTACTTCAATTCCAAGGGTAAAGTTTAGCTATAAGTTACTACAAATTCTAAATTTTATAACTAGTTAAAATGTTTTCAAAATGAAATATTAAATTAAGTCTTAGTGATTCTAAAAGGCTACACTAAAAAGTAATTTCTTCTAGACTATGCTGAATTATTAAAGCAAGAAGCAATATTAAACCAGAAATGTAAATTTAAATTTTTACATACCTGTGGCTCATTATTTTTACTTCCTTCAAGCCTTTCTTGCTTTTCTTTTAATGTCACTTCTTCATCTTGTTCTGATGACAGATTCATACATTGAGTTAAAATAAAAATAGACAGAAAAATAAAATTTATTATTATTTTATTAATGGAGCTTAATCTTCAGTGGGATATTTACTTCTTTAAGAAATATTTTTAATTATCCAGAACTTCCACAAACCACTTGGATAGACACTGGATATCACCAGGTTTCAGCATACAAAACACCTTAAAGATTCACAAGCAAATTCATCCACCCAACATAAATAAATGAAACTGTCAGAAACAAAACAAAATTTAAAACAACAGTAGAAACATGTAAAATAACACTAGATACTGTTCTCCACTTACATTAAGGATTTCCAAAATTACTGTTATTTACAACTTTGTCAGGCATACCCTATTCCTTATAGCTGAAATATTTTCCTCTACTATCTGATGAATTTCTTTTCATCTTTTAAGTCTCGGACTATGTGAAGTCTTCCTTGATTCTGGCTATTTCCCCCCAGAGAAACAGGCATCTCCTTCCTCGGGAATACCTTAGTACTTTATCCATTTTTCTACTGTATCTTTTCCACCTGAATTATCAACCCCATTTATCATTGGGCAAGAGGCATGAGCAGAACTCTCTCCTAGGAAGATAGATAAATGGCCAACAAATGTGAAAACAATGCTCATTCCTGTTTCTTGGGTCTATTAAGCTTATGAAGAAATAAGAGAAAAAATGAGTCACTTGTACACGTAAATAACTTTGTATTTATAGCTTGCAGTCACTAGTCCAGGAGATAACCAATCACCTTCTGTACAAGATAATGTTAATTCTACAGGTAAGGAAAAAAATAGTAAGAGTGAAAAAATATTATATATTTTAATACTATAGCCTAGATCATAGGAGTGATTAAGGGCACTGCATTTAACTACATAAAGTGGAACATATATTAGGTGCAGTTAATAGAGTGGATGTCCTCAAAGAATTAAGACTGATTTTCATACATTACTTTAAATAATATACAGCCAGCAGTCCTTCAAAACAACAATCTTAGTGAACTGTTATTCACTAAAACAAGGTGGATACACCTGAGGAGATAATATATAGCCAATTCCCAATGATTCCTATCAATATGAGGAACATGAATTCTAACCTAGAGTCACATAAATTATAAGAAATAATTTAGCGGATGTGGAGAGAAGGGAAGATTTTTACACTCTTGGTGGGATTGCAAACTAATACAGCCTGTTTGGAAAGAAGTATGGAGAATCCTCAAAGAGCTAAAAATAGACCTTCCATTTGATTCTAAAGTCCCATTACTCAGCATCTACCCAGAAGAAAAAAAATCATTTTATCATAAGGACATTTGCACTAGATTGTTTATCACAGCTAAATTTACAATTACCAAGAAACAACCCAAGTGCCCATCAACTCATGAATGGATTAATAAACTGTGGTATATGTATACCATCAAATACTATTCAGCCATAAAAAAGATGGAGACCTTACATCTTTTGTATTAACCTGAATGGAGTTGAAACACATTCTTCTTAGTAAAGTATCACAAGAACAAAAAAGTAAGTATCCAATGTACTCAATTCTAAATATGAAGCCAGTAGATGAACTAATATATGCCCACACAAGAGAAAAACTCAATTCAATTCAAGATGGGGAATGTGAGGAGGAGGGAGAGAGTACAAGGGGGGGCAGTGTGTTCTCACTTAATGGGCACAATGTAAGGGTACATGGCACACCTCCTGGGAGCAGGACATTACTACAACAGTGACCTTACTTAACAAATGCAAACATTGTAACCTAATCGTCTGTACTCTCATATTAATCTGAAATAAAAAAAGAAATCATGTAATATTTGATTTTGGAAGGTACTTTTCCACAGATTTTATCACTGATGGTCAAACTAGTAGAATCCCAATCTAAGGAATCTGAAAATAAAGTTTTCATTTGAAAGTAAATGAAGCCAAGCCCAGGCATTACAGGACTGAACTACCTATGCTTCTTTTTTCTTTCTTTTTTTTTTAGAAACAGTCTCACTTTGTCGCCCCTGGTAAAGTGCCATAGTGTCACAGCTCACAGCAACCTCCAACTCTTGGGCTTACATGATCTTCTTGCCTCAGCCTCCCCAGTAGCTGGGACTACAAGTGCCCACCCAACGCTCAGCTATTTTTAGAGACAGGGTCTTGTTCTTGCTCAGGGTGGTCTCAGACCTGTGAGCTCAGGCAATCTACTTACCTCAGCCTCCCAGAGTGCTAGGATTACAGGCATGAGCCACCATGCCCAGCTTCCCTATGCTTCATTACCTTCTTCATGCTCTTTGTTTTCTGGTGGTTGTGACTCATGGAGGGTAGCATTTCCTTCTAGAGACACAGTTCCAACAGTAATCTTTTCTTTATCTAATGAGTTCTTCTGTCCCAATTCGGTTGATCCTGGCTTGTTTTTGTTCATTGATGGTGCTACAGATGATGATTTAATGTCAACTTCCGAATTCTCAAAATTTTTAAAAATGTTATCACTGATGGTCAAACTAGTAGAATCCCAATCTGAGGAATTTGAAAATAGAGTTTTCATTTCTTAGAAAGTAAATGGTAACACAATCTTGAATCTTGACTAACCTGTATAAGCCTTATTTCACAGAAGCAGCTCCATGTTCTCTCCTCCCCCACAAACACACTATGTCCTAGACTTGCCATTCATTCAGATAAACAAAATTTTAACTACCATCTCTTGTTTTCCATACATTTTTTAGTATTACTTACTTGCATTCACTTAGCAATCTCTATCACATACATTGTTTTCCATGAGAGCTTCATTTGTTAGTATTTAAGATACTTGAGGGATATGAACTTTTTAAAGTTAATAAAAACTATGTCTAACCATTTTAAGTTTACATATGCTTGAGACTATTATGTCCCTATATGTTCTAGACACATGGGCTTTAAAAAACACTTTTCATGGGTGGGTGCAGTGCTTGGTGCCTATAATCCTAGCATTCTGGGAGGCCAAGGTAAATGGATCACTTGAGCTCAGGAGTTCAAGACCAGCCAGAGCAAAAAGAAAAATTAGGCTTGGTGCCTATACCTCAGTGGCTAAGGCACCAGACACTTACATTTGGAGCCTGGACCTGCCAAACAATGACAACAATAGCAAGAAAATAGCTGGGTGTTGTGGCAGGTGCCTGTGGTCCCAGCTACTTGAGGGTCTGAGGCAAGAGCATAGAGGGAGGCTGTATCTCAAA